CTGTATTAGATGCACATAGGCTGCCTGTAGCCATGGGCAAGGTTCTGGTGGGCTGGGAACACTCTTGGCACATCATACCTTTGATGATGTGCCAAGCACAAGTTGGGTGGTGTTGGTGCAGCCCTCCACCATGCTCCCCCCACCTTGGCAGCCATGTGGCACGTCCCATGCACCCACCAGACACTGCTGCAGGCGTGGCAGGACGAGGGGGAACGTCTGTAACCGCCATAAACCGCTGGGCAGTCATGCAAGGGTTCATATCCTAAACCCTAAACCCTAAACCCTAACCCTAAAACCCTAAACCCTAAACCCTAGATGACGTCATCAGGGTGACTGCAGTGAAGAAGGGAGCAGTGGAATGTGGCTGGACGCGACAGCTCAGTGCTGCAGCCGCCACTGAGCAGGTTGCTGCCACAGGCCCCTGACTCTTTCTCCAGATGAAGCCATGGTGAATGATGGGTAACTGTCAGGGTTTAGGGTTTAGGGTAATCGGTTAGGTTCTAGGGTTTACCCAAGGGGTGGGTGCCTAGCTCGCGACATCAAGTTGTGCATCACCGGGGTGTGTTCACAGTCACCAGGCGCCATGATGACGTCATCAGGGTGACTGCAGTGAACAAGGGAGCAGTGGAATGTGGCCGGACGCGACAGCCCAGTGCTGCAGCCGCCACTGAGCATGTTGCTGACAGAGGCCCCTGACTCTTTCTCGAGATGAAGCCATGGTGAATGATGGGTCACTTTCAGGTGACGTCACAAACAACCACTCCTGATTCATGATTCACTACAGTTTGCGCGAGTTTTAGGGCGCTCCCTTTCTTCGATGAAAAGGATGCTTGGCACGAGCAGCTCATGAGCTGCACCATCAACCGCCCAAAACTCGAGACATTTCTTGTAGAGTATCTGGTATTGCTGCACCAGCACGTGTCCATCAAAGTTGTTAATCGATGAGTCAAGCGTTGACTTCTGGTTCAAGTGGCGAGGCACTTGCGCTATTTATTACTCCTCACTATTCTTGTGACAGCACACTTGCAATATTGATGCAGTCTATTGAAAGATCAGCATGCTTGCGTGCCTGTTTATGGCCAGAGACAATGACAAACCTGTGGCCAGGTGGCGGATGGCAGACCTCATGTCTTGCAGCAAATGCGCACACCGCTTGCCTCTAGAAAGAAATTGGTTGAGATGTTTGTGAGGGCGACGCAAAGGCGCGTTGGTAAAATGAGACAACCTAAAAGTAGTCTATAATGTGCATTTTATCAGATAAAAAGGAAGCATGCCGACATCGATGGACCTTCCATGTGCAATGCTAAGATTTGCTCATGACAAGTCTACATGTATGATAGCATGAGTGCCCGTGCACTTGACAAGCGCCAGCTCAAGAACACTGTTGCAGTGTGGATGTGCAAACAACGGGCCCATTCTATCTGCGGGGTTCTTATAGGGCAGTAAGGGCGCTGGTACGGCGCACTGCAGTGGTTCATGCTCAAAGTGCAGTGGGGCACTGTGGTGTCGCACGAGAGTAGACCAGGGCCATTACAAACCCGTGAAGGAGTAGCACGTAGGCAAAAAGCGCTGCACGAGCCCCGGCACTGCCTGCGATGAGGCTGCCTGTCGCAAACATGACGCGATCATGCAGCTTCAGTGCCCGCACGCGGCCCTCCACCTCGGCTTTCTGATGGCATTGGCAAGGCGAGGGTGAAGGGAAGGAGGGGACCCGGATGGAGGGATGTTGGTGCAAGCTGTGGAGCAAAGCGTGTCAAGTCAGCCATGAGATAGGTCGCTGCTGCGACACGCACGTGGACGCCAAGCATCACCAGGTGGTGTGAAAAGTGGCAAGCAATGAGGGCAATGACTGCTGACAAATGCATGGTGATCAAGGTACGCAGGAGACTACCGCACCTGGAAATCGGCAAAGGGGTTGACCGCCCGCTCGTAATGGGGAGCGTAGCGGGCCTCAGCACCCCCCACGGCAGCACTTGCAAGGTTAGCAACCTGCCCAGCTTGCTGTCGCTTCCGCCGTCCAGCCAGTTCAAACGCCACCGGTCCACACGAATACCGCGCAGCTTTTGACTCCACATGCTGCACCCCCAGGCTGTCCACACGAATGATGGTGGCGCCGGCACCGCTGCTGCCGCCGCCACCTCCCCCAGCCCCGCCGCCTGCCCCTGCTGAGGCGGCCAGCTGCCTGGTCTTGAGGAACCTGATCTGCTTGACAAGCTCCACATTGTCAGCAGCCAGCCGCTCGCTGCCGCTATTGAGCTCGGCGGCATGCTGCTGCAAACGGCCGCACTCCTCCTCCAGATCCAGCATACGGCGCTGAAAACGGTCCCGCTGCCGCACCACCACGCTCAACAGCTGGCTGCTGCTGGTTCCATCACCGCCAGCAGCACCTCCCCTGTCGCCGTCGTCATTGCTGTCAGCCGACGCTGCTGCGCGTCCCATCAGCCTTTGCGAGTTGCACTCAAGGATGGCAGCAGAAAGGTCTCCCCCAGAGTCGGCAGCGCTACCGGCTCGCGCGACGGCGGCTTCATCGCGGCTGATTCCGCCACAGGCTGACGCCACCACCAGGTCCTGCTCAAGCTGCCTCACAGCATCCTGCGCCTCTTTTAGAGTAGACTGCACCTGTTGCAGTTCCTGCAGCGCCGCGTCCCTCTCACCTCGAAGCGCGTCCGTGGTGCGCCCAGCTGTGGCCAGCGCGTCCGAGAGCTTACTGACCCGCTCTTGCAGCTGGGCCGGCAGGTGCCCAGGGTCAACAGCCAAAGCCGTGACAGCGGCTTGCGCCGCACCGGCCTCCCAGCCCTCCTGTTCCAGCTGCCGGCCCACGAGCGCAGATAGCGCAGCCACCGCCGCCGTCGCCTCGGCGTACTGCTCCGGCGCTGGCCGCCGCTGAACCTCACTCTGCAAGCGCGAGGCCTGGGACTCCGCTAAGTTGGCGCGGCTCTCCAGCAGGCGCATCTGGTGCTCGGCCTGCCGCAGCCGCGCAAGGGCCGAGTCGAGCTCAGTGCGTGCCTGCAGCCGCTCAGCATCACGCGCCGCACCCAGCACGGAGCTGCGAGGCGACAGAAGGCCATGCTGCCGCTGTGGAGACTGGGCCTCGACGCCGCTGCCCTCACCAGCTTCATCATCATCCTGCTGTGCGGGGCCCTCTGCGTATTGCTGCAACTGGTCCGACAGCTGCTGCACCTGTTGCTGCAACCGCACTCGCTGGGCACTTAAGCCGGCCACCTGGCGCCGCAGCTGATCAATCTCATCCAACGCCGCGGCATGATCGTCAGTGCGCGCAACGCCGTTGGCCTCCTCCTGCTTTGCCAGAGCGTCAAACAGCTGCGTCTGTGAGGCGTCGTAGTCCTCCCGCAGCTTGGCCAAGGCAACCTGCGATCAGCGGCGGATCAGGGCCAGTAAAACCTCATGACAGGGAACAATGCACCAGTGCGCTCAAAACAACCGTGGGGGGGGAAAGCACAACCTTTAGCTCAGCACCCGCAATGCAGCTCGTTCTCTCCTCGTATCACCCCCTCCTCACACTCGCCTACCTGCAGCTTATCAGCCTCCTGTGCCTTGGCCCTCAGCTGAATCTCGCTCTCAAACTTGGAGCCCGCCGCTGCCTCCAAAGATGCCAGCTGAGCCTGAGGATGATGGGGATAGGGGTGGTCAAGTGCGGACGAAGGAAGGCAGTCGACACGCGCCCAGAGCACCCAACACCAGGATGGAACCGCTCTGCAGCACGCCCCCTCCAAAGTAAGCGCTAATGCCTTGTCGTCCTGCTGACAAGCAGCCCCTTGCCATACATCTGCCCCACACCTGCGCCGCCTCCAGGTCCGCGCGTGCGCGCGCCCCTGCCGCCTTCTCCTTTTCGTGCGCATCCACCAGCTGCTGCACTTCTGCGTCATCGGCGCGGGCGGCCTTCAGGTCGCGCTGCAGCTGGCGCAGCTCCGTCTCCAGGTCTGCATGGCGCGCACCAAAAAAGGCCGTGACTTGGGCGGCGTGTCCAGGCGCCCAGGCTGGGTTGAAAGGGCGGGCTGAGAAGGCCCAACCTCTGGGCGGTGCCGCAGCCGACTGCGGAGCAACGCAGGTGAGCACCCCACACAACGCGCAGCAGCGCCGCCCATGCCGATGTGTTGGCTGCAGCACTGTATACGGTATAATGATAGGCAGGTAAACACTGTCACACCATTCGCCTGCACACCCACCCACCTGCTGCGCGCTTGGTCGCCGCTGCTGCCCCTTCCAGTGCTTGCAAGGGATCAGGCAGCTCGAGCAGCGCCGCTACGTGCTCACGCAGCTCATCAAGCATGCCCTGGCCCCTGCCTGAAGCAACGCCCTCCTCCAGCTGCTCCAAAGCGCGGCGCAGCGGCGCCTTACGACCCTCAAGGCCAAAGGCGGCCCAAGCAGCCCCCGCGCTGGTGGCCACTGCCGCGGTGGCTGCGGGAGGGGCGAGCGGTGGCAGCAGAGAGACACTCGTGCCACCGTCTACTTTCTAGCAGGTGACGGTTGGCTGCACGCCATACGCCCTACGCTCGTACATGGCTTCTCAACCCGAAGTTGCCCAGGGCTTGGATGCCCACCAGGCCCCACCTGCAGCGCTCAGTGGCGGGCGCTGCGGGCCCGTGGCTGCGCGGCTTGTGGGAAACTCTGGCGCCAGGAGGTTGCCATCGACCACCTGCACGCAACATGTGCCAATTGTTGAAAGCCCAGCTGTGTTTTGTAAAGTGGGTACTGCAGGTCGGATGCACTCATGAAGCAATTGCAGGTGCCCCTAGACATCAAGACAGTGCCACTGCGCTCCCGGACCTGGGCTGCGGTGGTCTGCAGAGCAGTCTCCAGATGCTTGAACAGGTCCATCAAGCTATCCTCTTTACTGTGTGAATGCTTAGAGCACCTACAGCGGTTGTTGTGCAGCTGCAGGGTACCTCACTGTCGTACACGCCATAGTGCTGGCTGGACGAGTGCCTGCGGTATGGTGAGGGAATGATAATCAATTGCGCGGCACCTCCAAACTCCCGCTTTCATGTGTACCGATACCGCTGTCTTTTCAGCGAGATCACCGCTGTACAGTCATCGCAGCAGCACCAGTATCCTCCCCCTTCGTAGGATACAGTAGCAGCGTCGCCATCGCTATCTGTTCTTCCACACGTCCGCGTGGTACTGCTAGCTCTTCGACCACTGGCCGCCTCACGGCACCCAAGCGCAGCGAAGCGTGGGGCGCACCAGGCAAATGGTGCAGGCGGCCCCGTACCAGGTGTCCCTGGACGCGGATCACGCGCGGCAGCTGGCCGTCACCGGGGCGGCGCTGTTGCTGCTCGATGTTCCCCAGGGCACGCTGCTGGGTGTCGACCAGCAGGTGGGTGCAAGGGCCTCACGAAGCTTGAGCTGACGGCGCTTGTGCCTGTGTACGGCCAGCAGCAGGGGGTGCTCGTCTGGGGCCCCATCTCAGAGCTATGATCCAGGGAGCTGGTGCCCCAAGCCATTCCTGCTGCACTTTCCTGCCAAACAATGCCATGTGCATGGACACCTCCGACTCCCTCTGCGCCCAGGTGTTTGTGGTGGGCCCACGCTTCAAGGGCCTCAAGATGCTGCCCCCAGGGGTGCACTTCCTGTCCTACCAGGCAGCGGGGCGCGACGGCCGTGTCTCCCCTGCCGTCAGCACATTTCTGGCACTGAAGCCGCGTGACGTGGTCGTGCGGCGCTGGGATGCAGCTCAGGAGGGTCTGGTGGCCCTCGCTGACGAGGATGAGGTGTGCAGGGGGAAGGGGGGGGACAGATGTCAAGGGCTGGCTGTTTTGATGTGGTCCAATGGCCAGGGAGCGAGCAAGGATCGTGGCGTCCGTAACGCTGGGTGTGAGGCTCTTATGCTGACAGGACGGATTCTCACCTTGCCGGGCTACTGCAGCACACAACACTGGCGCCTCCTCTGCACCCCGGCAGGTTTCAAGATTTGCTGAGGGCGTGCGGCGTTTCGATTTTGACAGCAGTTTGGCTCCCTACGACTTGGCAGGCTGCTCTCAATGGCATGGCCTGGCATGCTTCATTGACGAGCCGCTGCTGCACAGGCTCACGCCGGTGCGTGCCTGCGGGGGCGGGCAGACGCGCCGGCAAGGTACTCACCTGTTCAGCCATGCTTTCAAGTCGCTGCAAGTGCAGTCCGCCAACATAACCAGGCGTTTCCCCTCAACCATATCCACACTCGAGTCACCCCCTGCCATCCACTTGTTCTCCTGCCGCCAGGTGGGTGGTGAGATCAGCGTGATGGCCGAGGCGCTGGACCCGGACCTCATGCAGCCACGCACCGAGGCGGAACGGCGGCTGGTGGCGCAGCTGCAGGTGGGTCGTGCGCAGCTTGCGCCAGGCTGCGACAAGCTGCACCGGTGGTGCATGGCCGTGCAGTCGTGACAGGCTCCTGTGCCCACAAAATGGCAATCAACTCCGCCTCGAAATGTGTCGAACGCCATCTGCAGGAAGGCGAATCCCGCAGGCAGCAGCATGAGGGGCGGGGGGCAGCGGAGATGGACACTGATCAGCCCCCGGGACGACCCGCCAACACTCACACTGGCTGTGACGGCGCGGCGTCCACATCGGGCGCCGCCAGCTCAGCGGGCAATGAAGCCACAGCACACCGCACGCAGCAGCGGTGGGGCCGCTGCTTCTACACGCGATTGCCGCGCCTCGTCAAGACCCCGGGAGCCAGTGGGGCTGAGCTGACAGCGCTCAACCTGGACAAGACTGCGGCGCTCGAGGAGGCGGCTTCTCAGACGGGAGATCCGAGCGGCAAGGCGCTGCTGGGGGAGCTGCAGTTTGCCTACATCACTTTCCTATTTGGCCGGTCCCTGGAGGGTGCGCGGAGTATTGGGGCTGTGGCCCAGGGACTTTGCGTCAGGGCAGCTGCGCTGTTGTGAGACGATGTTGCATGGCTGTGCATATGCACAACCTCCACAACAGCAGGGAATTGATTCCCTTTCAGTAGCTAGTGCCCAACACGCTGCCCCGTCGCGTGCCTGCAGGCTTCCTGCAATGGAAGGCGCTTGTGGGGCTGTTTTTGGATTGCCAACGTGGTCCCCTGCTCAGCCACACGGGCCTGTTTGTGGCCTTCTTGGCCACAGTGCAGCAGCAGCTGTCGGCTGGCCTTGGATTGCAGCAGAAGCCGCAGCGGCGGCAGCAGCGGCGGCGAGGTGGTATTGGGGAGGGCGAGGGTAGTAGCAGCGACGACACCGAGGACGAGGGCGACAGAGGTGCTAGCAGCGAGGGTGGCGGAGCGCTAGGGCTGCCGCTGGTGGAGGAGCTGCTGCCTGACAGCTTCCTGCGGCGCCGGTTTGGAGCCTTTCTTGAGGCTCTGCATGAGGAGGGGACAGGGTCGCCGCCCGCACTGACGCAGCAGGTGCGGGTCAGAAGCAGGGGTGGGGAGGTGTCTTTACAGTCAAGCTTGGGGTGCTCGCGCCAGCACGCCTGCTGCAGTTTGGATGTAATGGCTCAGGGGTGCTGGATGCCCTGCGGCGCCGGCGGGTTTGTATCGGCCCCGTCTTGTTGAGATGTGCGCATGCTGGGGTATCTACAACGAGTCCTAACCACCCAACGCATGCAGGCTGCGCAGCTGGAGACGCTGCTGCGTGAGCGGCTGGGCTGGGACTTCCGTGTGCGACAGCTGCCGAGCGGTGGCTGCGGCTGCTGTGGCGATGAGGAGGGTGATGACGAGGACCGGCCGGTGGTGGTGGAGCTGTCGCAGGAGGAGAGGCGGCTAGCAGGGCTGGAGATGTAACACGCCCTCAGAACCCACGCCCCCTCCCATACACACGCCTCGACGGCCTGCACGTGTGAATTAGACAGTGCGTGTCAGGGGCACATGCCATTCATTGAGGGAAGGAGGGCAGTTACAGGGGGCGCTGCGGGCGCTTCTCAGCGCTACGTGCAGGGTACAAGATACACTAGAAAGCCCTGGGGTCTAGCGCTGCAGGGGAAAACAGGTGTCGACCTTCACACAACTCGATAACACTATACACACAACAGCCACTGATTTGGCATGGTGGAGTCGCAGCATGCAATCAAAAGGGAGCCCCATCAACAAAAATGACTGCCGTTGGCAGCACGGTGCATCATGACACTGCAGGCGCGCTGGACGACACGGGCAGGCTGGCACCCGTGAGCCGCATAGCCAGTGCGTCAAACACGTCAGCCACATTGGCAGCTGTCTTGGCGGATGACTCAAAGAACAGCATGCGGTGCGCCTCGGCAAAGGCGCGGCCGTCCTCCTCGCTGACCTCGCGCTGCTCCGCCAGATCAGACTTGTTGCCCACCAGCACCATCACTAAGGGCCAGAAGAAGGGGGCGAACAGAGGGGGTGAAGGCGGGAATATTGGAGGTGTGGAAGCGTCCATCATGCATTCATGATTCACCCAGCGGCATGCGCCCGTCTATAACTCGCCCAGCTATCTGCTTCCCTTGTTGCGCACCTATAGACCCGCTGGCGTTGCGCTGCAGCTGGTCAACCCAGTATCGTGCCTTTTCAAAGGACTCGCGGCTGTTGACCGCGTACACAATCGCAGCTGAGCGGCGGGTGACAGGTACAGCACAAGGGGGCAAGACGCGAGGGTGTTAGATGTCAAGGCACTGGGTGTTGCAGGTGGTTGAGCGATCGGGGCACTCGCGTAGTGCGGCGGGACGGGGCAACTACACAGGCGCAGGTCCCTAGGGTGAGCAGCTGCTGGCATGTGCGGGCAGCTTCACGATGCAGGGGGTGCGGTCAAAGCAGCGTCATTGCACCTGCGTGGGCGCCCCGGTAGTACAATGGGGCCAGCGAGAGGTAGCGCTCCTGACCAGCGGTGTCCCTGCGTTATGAACGCCACCAGGCGACGAGGTCACAAAGCAGCCTTGAGGAAGAATGCGGTACTTGGAAGGCAATGTGAGCTACCATGCATGACATCACCAGTGAGTGCCCCCTCCTCAACCCAACTAAGGTTGGTTGTTTGAGGACCACCCCTTGTTGGCATCACCCCTTGCCACCCACCATATCTCAAACTTGAGGCTCTTGCCCTCTGGGGTCATGATTTGGTGCGACATGAAGGCGGCGCCCACTGTGATCTTGCTGCTCTCATCGAATTGCCCTCTGACGTACCGCAGAACGAGACATGACTTGCCCACGCCGCTGTCGCCCAACAACACCAGCTTAACGCGGGGGGGCGGGCCGCCTATGCCAGGGCCATCGCCGTGCTGGTGCTGCAAGCCAGGCGCACCAGGCCCCCCGCCATTCGCAGCGCCTCCTCGCCGCCCTGGCAGTGGCGCTGCGTTGGTGCAAGCAAAGCAGCAACTGTGATGCCCGCGCCCATGCGCATTGTGCAGGATGGAGCAGGCCTGGCCTCTCCTTGCACAGCCTTTGCCAAGCAGTCGTCGTTTTATAGAGAGCTGGACTTACAGCACAAGCCAAGGAGCTTGTTACACGCGGATGAAATTGGGAACACGCACCTGCTGCTTTGCTGGTAGAGCATCCCATCCCGCACCTCCCACAAAGCTTTAGACCAGGCTTGAGCTCTCTTCCTCTGCAACGTGAGCCCGTGACGTTCGTTCCTGCCTGATCTGCAGGTGACACAACGCGTCTAACAAAATTATGCGGGAATAGTAGAGCTATGTTGGTGGATTTCTGGACATTGAATTCAAACCGTCTGGCGTATCATGTCATCAAGCCAAAAATCGCAAAGGGGTCAAGCAGGTCAATCGCAAGCCAACTGCGGCTGAAAACCAGGGAACAGGCGATGAGTTAGTTTGATGCACAGTTCTATCCTCCTGCAAGGACCGCATCAGCAGCGGCGCCTGTGCGCCACACTCTGGGCGGCAGCTTTTGGCGCAGCAGCTGCAAATTAGTGCTGCGTCGCGCCGGCGCTGATGCAGCTCGGCACGGTCCGGCCATGTCGACAATCCTGTCAACCAAGGAGCGTGAGGTGCAGGTGAGCGAGCGCTGCGGCCGGAACGTACATGCACTTGTGAGTCGAAACAGCAGCCAACGTCGGCTGTGCCGCCGCAGACCCTGCTGCGCCAGAAGGATGCCGAGCTAAAGCAGGCCAACGCTGAGCTGGAGGAGCGCGGCAAGCTGCTCTACAAAACCAAGGTGAGGGCTGCATTCCGGCCGCATGAAGGGGGCAGTCCTGGTTGTCACGTCAACACTCTGCCCCTGCACCAGCTAGCACCATCACGCACGCTGGCGCTCAATGCACACACCGGCCCCACCAGGTGGCCATCGAGCAGCTCCAGGCGGAGCTCACCGCCAGCCGCAAAGAAGAGCAGGCAATCCGGGACGAGGCGCAGAGGGTGCGTGGGTTTGCAGGGCGGTGACTCAGCCGTCCTCTGGGCCGGGTGGTGGGTTCACGCACCTTCTACCGTCACGGTGGGCGAGGTGTTTGACGGGCGGCTACCCCTAACTTCTCATGCCTGCAGATATGCGATGACCAAGCCGCCGAGCTGCGGCGTGCTGAAGAGCAGCTGCAGCAGATGGAGGCGGCCGTGATGTCGCGCAACCAGACGGTGGCGTCAGTGCAGGCACGCGTGTCCGAGCTGGAAGCAGAACTGGAGAGCACACGCCACGAGCAGCGCACGTTTGGCAGTGTGTTTGCGGCAAAGGAGCGTGACCAGGCTCGCAGGATGGAGTCAATGTCTGACGAGGTATAATGGAGAGTGGCCCTGAGTTTGTTTTGGCGCCTGGCATGGGGGTGGCGGTGGAGTTATATCAGTGAGGGCGAATAGCCTTGGTGGGCGCTTCTGTGCTTCACCAGGGCACAAGCAGCCGAGCCCAACCGCTGAGGTGCTGCAGTCAGTCCCAGGCTTTCTGCTGCTGCTGCGGTTGGCCCCTTGGCTTCAGGTGGAGCACCAGAAGGAGAAGGTGGCTGAGCTGGAGCGGCTGCTAAAGGAGCGCAGCACTGCGCTGAGCGAGCAGAAGGAGCGGGTGGGTGGCTGGTGATATGGCACTGGAGGCTGGACGCCTGTTTTCTGGCAGCGGTGACAGATGCTGCACTTGGGCAAGGATTTCTAACAAGGTACCATGCCAAGATGAAGATCCTGCAAGCGCACGTGATGTGTTGAACCCTGCATGACGTGTTACACCATCTGCAGGTGTCTACCCTGCAGCAGGAGCGTGAGGAGGCGGAGCGGTTGGGGCGTGACCTGGAGGCGCGCAGCAGGAAGCTGCTGGAAGACAAGGCGGTACGCCTGGAGCGGGAGGGCGCCTCGTGGGACGTTCGTGCAGCACTCTATCACCTGCATGCCCATGCCGTCATGGACCCAGGTGTCGAATGACTCCACCCTGCCCCGCTGTAACGTTGTGGCTCTGCCCACGTCTGCTCCCCCACCCATCCACCTACCCGCCTATCACCGTAGCGCCTGGAGCAGCAGCTTGTGGGGGCGGGGGAGGAGGCGGCCACACTGCGCAGGCAGGTAGCCGAGATGGCGGCCCTTGCGGAACAGCGGGGGCGCGAGAAGGCGGCTGCTGACAAGGACTGGGGCCGCAAGTTGGGTGGCCGTGACAAGGAGCTGGTGGGGCGCACCAAGGAGCTGGACAAGCAGCTGCAGGGCGCTGATGAGCGCAGTGAGTGGCCTGGCTGCTGACAGTGTGATCTAAGAAGCGCTGCTGCTTTGTTGCCATTTGTGTTTGCTGCAACTTGCATGGTCAGCCATTTTTCACTTGGTGCTCACGTCCATCCGTGTGCAGACAAGGCTCTGTCCAAGCTGCTTGCTGAAACGGAGGCCGAGCTGTCTCAGGCCAACGCGCTGTGGCAGCGCCGGCTTGATGATGCGCAGTCAGAGTGGGGCCGCCAGGTGGCTGAGGTCGAAGCGTCCTGGGAGAAGCGCGTTGGCGGGGCGCTGAGGGACGCCGAGGGCAGGCTGGTAGACGAGGCGCGTGAGTGGGAGCGGCGGCTGCGGGACTGCGAGGCAGGATGGCGAGCAAAGCTGGCGGACAGTGAGGCTGCCTGGGGTGAGTGGCTGGGAGCATGCGGGAAGGCATAGTGTTGGTTGGAGAGACATCAGGTTGAGCTGGGTTGAGGGGTTGGTGCCAATCAATGCCCAGGGCTGACAGTGGGCGTGGAGTGCGAGCAGCAGAATTATGTGCAATTGATGAAAGGAAAGCTGATGACACAGTTCCACACCAAATTGTGCCAATCACAGGGCAGCGGTACGCCCAGGAGCGCCAGCAGTGGGAGCACGACCGCTCCGACTGGGAGCACTGGCGGGTGCGGCTGCAGGAGGACCTTGACGCCGCCAGGGCGGGGGCAGGCCTAGACGCGCGCAAGGGTCTGGCCGCACAGCTGGCGCAGGCAGATGAACGTACAGCAGCAGAGCGCGCGAGCCTGGAAAGGTGGGGCTACATCTTCAGGGGGTGGGGCACAGGGACCAATGGGCGATTGCCTCTCCTCAGCAACCCATACGCACACGTGCGCGCAAGATTCAATAACAGCCTTGTGCCGGTCAGGGATGCAGGTTGTCGCGTTCGATGGTTATTGTCGTGACTACTATTGCCATGCGCAGGGCCTGGACGGCACGCCTGGAGAGCAGTGAGGCGGCATGGGTACAGCGGCTCGAGACGGAGCAGCGGACAGCGATGACACGGCTGGAGGAGTGCCGGCAGCGTTGGGCAGCAGAGAAGGCTGCCTTGGAGGAAAAGTGGGCCCAGGCAGCTGGAGAGGCTGAGGGCAAGTGGCGGCGCAAGCTGGACGAGCTGCGCAGCAAGTGAGAGGTTGGGTGATCCCCGTCCTTCGGCTTGCAGGGTGCTGGCCTGGCACGGTATGTGCTGCTTATCATTCCAGCAAAACAGGCTCGCACTGGACCTTGCAAGGCGAGACGACTGCAGCCTTGCCCCTGGGGGGTTGCACCCCAAAGCGTTCACGGGTCTCGTGTCCGCCAACCGCAGGTGGTCTCAGGAGCAGGCAGCTGCGGACAGCGCCTGGGCCGCACGTCTGGAGGAGGCGCACAGCCGTTGGCTGCGTGAGCGCGGCGAGCTGGAGCACGGGGCTGCCGAGAAGCTGGCCTGTGCCCAGGAGCTGGCCGTGGCGCGGTATGACGCACTGCGCGGCCAGCTTGAGGGGCGGGTGGCGGCCATCAGCGAGCAGCTGGCTGGGCTGACGGCCAAGGAGGGCAAGAAGGAGGCGGCCCGCAAGGAGCTCAAGCAGGAGGTGGGCAAAGTGGCGGCTGAGTTAACAGGTTAATGGCTAGGGAGGTAGTGTGGCTGTTGGCGGCCTTTGAGGTCAGGACCAGGCAGGATGTGCAGCGACATCGAGGCTGTGCAGAGGCGGCTCGCGGCGCATTGACGTGCCCTGCGGCCCTCCTGTGTGCTGCAGGTTGAGGCTCTGCGTGCCTCTGCAGAGGAGGAGTTCCGCCGTCGCCTGGGCCTCGAGCGCACTCTGCACGAGGCTGCATCCCTCTTTCGGCGCGAGCTCTCCGGCAAGAGTGCTGAAATGCGACGACTGCAGGGCCAGGTGCACCGTATGCGGCGGCTCAGCGGCGTGGCCGCGGGTGCAGCGGGCTTGGCAGCCGGTGTGACCCTACAATCTGTACAGCAGCCGCTGTCAGCAGCAGCAAGCCCTTGTACCCATGCCGGAAGCCAAGGACGAGAGGATGGCTGCTGCGTTGCCGCGCACGGCGTCTGCTGCAGCAGCCCTCACAGGGGTGAAGAGGGCCCATCGGCGTCCCCACTGGCAACAGCGGTGATGTCTGCGCCGTGCCTGGGATCGCCCTCCACTTGTGGCGGATGCAGCAGCTGCTCACCGACCCGAAGAGGTGTGGGCGGCGGTGGCGGTGACCTGCTTAGTGGTGAATTGGCAGCGCTGCGAGCAGCGCGGGGGGAGTATGCCAGCGCGGTGCTGGAGCAGGACCGGCTGCGCAACTCGTTACTGTCATCGCTGGGCGAGACGCTGCGCGCGGTGAGGGAGGCCACTAGCAGTGCAGGGTCAATGCTGGGAAATGACACGTGTCTCCGGGGGAGGGGGGGGATGGACGCGCGCTCAAGTTGGATTCCTCATTTTCCAACTGGGAAAACACTATTATAACATTGTTTACACGAGCGCGCGTACACAAAGACAAACACTGCAATCACGGGCTCAACGACCCGCCCGTGGGGGATCCCCGCGATCATCAGATCCTGCGCCCCCTCAGACTTCCCGTCCACCAAGGCGTCCCTGCACACACAACCCCCCCCCCCCCCCCCCCCCCCCC